TGAAAGGTAATTAGGAAAGTGCTTTAAGATTAATAATCTTCCACTTCAGCCAAGGGACGTCATAATGTTTCTAAAACCTTTTATGTCATGCATACTTATTCCTCAAATAAAAACGGAGAAGTAGAAATTAACACTTAATGAACCTCTCCATTAAGAAATCTATAAACAACGAATATGGAAATCAGTAATAAAAAAAAATCACAACGACAACAGTTGAGAAAGGACTCTAAGAAGTGAACGACAAAAAAAAAGCGTCATACAACAAAAAAAGATTAGGGGTGTACATAAACCTGAACAACCCGCAAACCCAACCCAACCCGAACAAGGCAACTTATAACATTATTTTTTATTTTTTGGCCTACTAAATGTTTGGTCTGAGGTGTTTGGAACGGTTTGTGGGTTGAGCCTATAATAACCCGCACCCCTAATCCAACCCGCACAAACATGCCTGATAAGGAGCCTATGAGTGTGGACTGATAGGGATGGTTGTTGTTGCGGTGCTTGCTTTGGATGAATTTGAATTAAGCCTCTAATTTATGTTTGCTTTATGTTTGATGTTGGATGGACTACTTTGCTTCATGTTTGATGTTGGATTGAATTTTGAATTACTATTTATTTGATGATGAACTAAGCAGTATTATTTCTTTTTGATGATGAACTTTGAATTTTAGAGTTATGTTTGATTATCAGTATTATTTTTATTTGATGATCATTATTATTTGATGATGAACTTTGAATGTTGGAGTTATTATTTCTATTTGATGATGAACTTTGAATGTTGGATTGAACTTTGGTTTTTTGAATGATGAACCCGACCACTCAACCCACCCTGCCCTATCCCAACCCAACCCAAACATCATTGAGTTATGAAAATTTTCTAATATTGTTGGGGCTAAATATGTACAACCCACACCCTTTGGGGCGTGACAAGAAAAATCCCTACCCCGCACCAACCCAACCCATATACAACACTAAAAAAGATTGAACGACTGGCCAAAAAATCAAAACGACATCAAAACAGAGAATGTTGAAAGACCACAAAGTAAAGTCTGAAAACGACAATATGCGATGAACGGCTAAAAAAGAATGAAACGGCTCTTAAAGTAGAAAACGACAGAAAATAATAAAGGGATAGAAAACCAAATATATAAAATGCATTTTCAATTATCCAAATATATATTATGGTTAAAGCCCAAGTCAACGTGTATAGTCTAAATGATGATCAGTCATAAATTTTTTCTCTAGAATTCGATGGGTGATTATAGAAGTTAGAAATGGCTGTCCAAATCAATTTATGTAGCCAACTTTGGCTATATATGTCAATTTATGTAACTTCAACCGACTTTCTTCCTCTAAGTTATATCGTCATGAAAGGCCAGCAAAATATTAAATATTACTTCCCCCAATCTCCACGTTTAGTTGACTTTGAAAAAGTAGTTTTTATTTATTTATTTATTTTATTTATTTTTGCTCAAATGACTTTGAAAAAAGTAGTTTTAACAGTAGTTGTGGGAGTCCATATAAACTTGTGAATACTACGTTCACCAACTTGTGGGACTATCAATGGACAAAATAAAAGTCGGATATGTGTCTATTTTGTATGATATCTACGGATAAAAATGAATTATGAGATAAATATATATGAACAGTTTCCTTGGAGTTTACCGTTTTGTTTGTTTGCTCTTTTACTTCTCCATAATGACAGTTGCCTTTGTGACAAGGACATGAGATATATTTGAAGACAAATCTAATTAATCAACCAAAGTGCAAATTGTAGACGTGTAAAAAATGTGGAATTATTAGTTTAAAGAAGTAAAAAGATTACGTAATACATCCCTATATATCCCAGGTTCGCCAGCTTAAAAATTGACTAGGGGTGATTTACAAATGTCCTCATTTATATGTGAAGGCCAGTTATTTGGCGAATTTTGCTTTTAAATTTTGGTCATATGCTAAGTCCATTTCAAAGCTTCAAACTACCGTTTGGTTCGCTGATTCGAGTTAAGATGTGATTTTATGTGAAAACTTTTTACTGTAGTAAAAAAGTTAGATGTGACTGTTTTTAAGAGTTTTTTACTGTAACAAAACTCGAATTTTAAACTCGAATCGGTGAAATGAACGAGACATTTAATTAAGAAAGATGTAAGAAAAACTAACCAAGATGGGGATAAAACATTGGCAAATCACAAATACTATTTATATTACTAATGAAAGATAAAATGGTTATTGACAAGAATGATTCATAATTTTTTTAAAAAGTGACAGTTTAATTTTATTTATTTTTTTGATAAATCAACCCTTAACGACTTTAAATAGTTAAAATTTAATAATTTCTGTTAAGATATGTCCGAAAACTATCGACCCATCCCACGTGACCAGGATGTTGGGGTATATGTGTAAAAACACACGTTGCTCGAATTGGCGCTGAGAGAGAGAGAGAGAGAGCCATGGGAAGAAATTCCCTTTTCTTTCTCGTTCTAACAACGCTTGCCATTACTTACACCCTTCAGTTCCAAGCTCACGCAGCTCCTCCAGGTGCCCGAAAACTTTTGATTTGAATATTTTTGATCTCTTTGGATTGTGGGTTGTTCTTAGGCATGTTTTGTCTTCTTTGATTCTTTTCATGGTTCGTTTGCTGTTTATGTTGATTCTGAGAAAAAATGAGAAAAGAAAAATCATTTCTGGTTTTCTTATTTGGGTTTCTCTGAATTTTTTAGTTGGTGGGTTTTTTTGGTTTTGGTTTTGGCACTTATAATATTTGGGTTTTTTTATGAGTTTCTCAATTCGGATCTGGTGTTGAGCATTTGACCGGTGGTGGTCTTGAGAGAGAGCGAGTTTCTTGGTTTTTTTCTTTTTTTTTTTTTTGTATTGAAGAGATGAAGTTCTTCTATTGCAGAAGATGAAGTTCTTGTATTGTTTATGGGTTTCTAGGTTGTATTGTTTCTGGTTTTTATGTTACTAGTCATCCTTCTATTTGATGTTTCTGGGTTTTTTTTGTGTCGAAGAAGATGAAGTTCTTGTTGTTGAAAGGATGAAAGAAAAGTTCTACAGGGCAATTTCATCTTTCCACTAATAATTTGGGTCACGTGGGTAGTCATATGCATTGGGCGATCCATAAAATTGGTCGATTTGTAAAAAAAAAAAAAATTAAGATTAAACTGTCACTTTTTAAAAAAGTTAGGATCATTCTTGTCAATAACCCAAGATAAAATGTTTTCTCAAACATTTCAGCACAAACCGGACTAACAACACCACACTCTTTAATTATTGGCAAGCCTGCAAGCCACACCCTTTAACTTATACAGAAAAAAAAAAGTAATTTGACAAGAATTTAACAGATTTAGTTGTAAGCATCGGGGTTTGCGTTCAAGTAGCCTTCGGCGAGCTTGAACCGACCAGTGGCCTTTTCTTTTCCTTCCTTAGCCTTTGCTTCATCGACCTGGGCATCTCCGACGGTGTGGAACATGGTAGTAACCTTAATGATGCTTCCTCCATTTGGGGATGCAACGAACTTGGTCTCGTGAGAGATTTTCTCAACTTCGGCAGACAAAACTTCTCCTTCGATCAAGCTATGGCTGTAGCTAAAGTTGTTGTGGTCAATTGAATCAAGCTTCTGCTTCACATACTTGCCTGCAAATGAAATTAGTATATACATAATTTATTAAAATTCCGTTTACTACTTAAATTATTAACTTTTAGTTAGATAATTAAATAATTAGTTAATTAATTACTAATGTTTATTTAATAATCTATATCATATCATCAATTTTTTGGTAATTAGTCTTTTTACAATGATTAATTACTAATTATCAATTATTAATTATTATTGATTTGTATATTACATATTGATAATTATAATTTAATATTAAGTATTAATTGAGTAATTACTATTTATTTTTTATTTATCAACTATTTACTTATTAATAGATTATAATTAACATAATATATGATTGATATATTAATTATTAATTATTTATTTAATAACCTATTATTACTTGTTTTATTGTTAATATGTTATATAATTAATTTTTGGCAATTAATCTTTAATTAAATAATTAATTACTATATTATTTATTATTTTATAAATAACATTTTAAACTTAATAGTAATAAATTAATATTTAATTAATAATTAAGTAATTACTATCTGTTTATTAGTTAAACGAGATATCTATTTATAAATTATTAATTAATATATAATATAATTAGTAATTAATAATTAATTATTTAATATAATTTTATTGGTAAGTACTAAAAAATGAAAACGGAAAAGAAAAAATAACTTTTCTTTATTATACTATTTTATTATTATTATTATTATTTTCTTTACTTGTTCATGAACATATGCCTTTAGAATAAGGATAAGTATTGTATAGACAGATGCTACTTATAATGCAAAATGCAAATCTTAGACGAGTAAAAATGTCAAATTATATTAGGTACTGTGTAGAAATATAAATTCAACAATTATGTAATACTTCCCTATTCATTGTACTGTCAGCTTCTTTTACAGGCTTTACTTTTAAAAGGACCGTTGAATATTCTTGAAAACGATTCCTTCATAGTTAACGCCTTTGTTATTTAAGTAAGTTTATAAATTTATGAAAAAATTACTGAATTTACTGTCAGAGTATATGAATTTAAATTTTTATTATTTTATTTTTAGTTAATATAATTATTTAATTAAAAAATATATCAAATAAAAGTAAGAGATAAAAATTTAAATTCTTACATTTTAAAAGGTATTTTTATCTTCTTTTTCTTAAATTTATTAGGATCGAGATCACAAACGTCCTCATAATTTGCAAGTCATGAGTTCTTTGGCGAATTTATTTGCTTCCAAATTTTTCTCATATATGGCAAAGATTTTCCTGAGTGCAGTAATTTCAAAAGCTTCAAAAAATGGTGCAGTAATTCAGGATATGATACCATACGTATTGGCTAGAAATTTTAAAAGATGCAGCAAAACTAAACCAAGATATGGCGATTAACACACAGATCAAGCACAAGTAACATTTTAGTACAAGATATTTTTTTCACTCTTTTATTTATAGTAAGATAAAATGCTTTTGAAATTTTCAATACAAACGGGAATATCACAACTCCGCAATCTTATTGGCAAGCCCCTATAGGAAGTCTGGAAAACAAAACAACATAAACGCCACACACCATTTTGCTAGATTACAGCGAAAACTAATTTGACAAATTATATGGTTCAACAGATCGATTTAGTTGTAAGCGTCGGGGTTCGCCTGGAGGTAGCCTTCGATGAGCTTGAACAGACCGGTGGCCTTTTCCTTTCCTTCCTTAGCCTTCGCTTCATCGACGTGGGCACCTCCGACGGTGTGGAAATTGGTAGTGACCTTAATGATAGTTCCTCCATTTGGGGATGCCACAAATTTTGTCACATGAGAAATTTTCTCAAGCTCGGCAGACAAAACATCTCCTTCGATCACGCTGTGGCCGTAGCTGAAGTTGTCGTGGTCAATTGAATCAAGCCTCTGCTTCACGTACTTGCCTGCAAATGAAATTTCACAAGAAAAATTATAATTTGGTTCAAATTTTGTATAGATATTACCATCTTTAATGTACTTTTAATAAGAGGGAAGATGTGAAAAATTATAATTTGGTTCAAAATTTGTATATGTATTACCATCTTTAATGTACTTTTAATAAGAGGCATTCTAGGTGGAGTGTAAGTAAACACATAAACATAATAAAAAAAGAAATTATTCTCATATTTTCTTTCGATCGAAGATATGTAAAATATGTAATCAAAATTTTAGGGCCCGTTTAATTCGCTAATTTGAGTTTTTAATTCGAGTTGAGATGTGACTTTATGTGAGAATTTTTACTGTAGTAAAAAAATTAAATGTGACTGTTTTCGAGAGATTTTTACTGTAGTAAAACTCAAATTCTAAAATCGAATCGGTGAAATGAACGGGCCTTAATACACACAATCATGGAGATAAAAAAAAAGGTTCACTTACCATCGGGAAAGGTGATCTTCTTGACGGTTCCGGGCCCTCCGTTTCCTTCGACGGTCTCTGCACTTTTAGCAGCTTGGGGAGCAATTTTTGGAAAAAGGTTGTCGGCATCAAGGACGGAGGCCTTGAACAACCTAGAAGGGGCAATGGTGGAGGAGAACTCGTCGTTGTAAGTGAAAACACCCATGATGATTTTGAGGGTTTTTTGAAAGGGATCAAAGAGTAAAAGATAAGGAAGGCTGTTTTGAGCTTTGAGTTGTTTTGTGATGAAGATATGTGCACATAGAGGTGCTATTTATAGGCAAGGGCTGCAGGTTGCCCCTCTATAATGAATCCACTGTTTATTAGACTTGTACATGGGTGAGAAAACTTGTGTTATTTTTGTCCTTGCAAATTTCAACGAGTAACATTTTAGTCAAAGAAGGCGCGCCCCTGAGTTGGTGTTCTATTTGGAAAATTATATAAAAAAAAAAGGTTCTTAGATTCTAGATGATGTGACGGTGTGCCAAACTTATCCTACATGTATGAGAAATTCCCAATTCTCCGGAAGATCAGAAAATTAAAACTATTGGTAGTTTTTTATTTTTCAGCTGTTAAATTTATATTAAAAATTATTTATTTTGTATATTTTTTATTCTGATTTAATTTTAATCAAATTTAATAGTCAAAAAATTGATCCTACCAATACGGCTAACCAGAGAAACTCCCAAGGTTTATATGCATGAAGCTAAAAACAAAAATAAAACAGAAAGTAAACTAAAAGCAAAAATAAAACGGAAAGTTGTATTAAAATAAAATTAGAGACTTTTTTCGGTACGCTAATATATCAATATGTTAAATTTTTTGTCCGTTAGATCTGTATAAAATCACGTAAAAGTTAAAAAATACGCAGATTCAACAGTTAAAAAAACGTAACCTACCGGTACGCCTAACGTATCAGAGAATTTCCCAAAAAGTTATCCATGACTAATTGGTAATTTTTTTTTGGCTTACTATTTAACTCTTTTGCCGACTGATCAAATTCTTACTATCACAAATCTCCTTTGACACTGTTCTAGATATGAGGAATGAGTCCATAATTTTTTTTTTTTTTAATTTTTATTGATGTTCTCAGGAGATGAGAAGTTGCAACCATTTTTCAGAAGATAGTTTGTCAAAACATAATAAACTATCCAAGCATTACATAATAGACCAGTTTTGATTAATGGATATTTTATTTCATATACAGATAAATATAATAATTCCGTCTAATTTAATTCATATAAATCCTCAAAGAAACTGTTAATTTATAAAATGGAACTCTGGTAAAAGTTATTTGCCCCCCTGTTTTTTTCTTTTGTTGAGAAGAGTTTGTTTGTTTTGTCTGCGTTTGTTTTTTTTCCTTTTTATTCTTTAATTTGATAATTTCAAGTTTTGAAGATTGACTTCTAAAAATGCCACCCAGTCAGAAATCAACAATATTTTTTTTAGAATCACAAATCAACAATATTTAATTTACTAGATTATGCCCGACATGCCCGACAACTTCACACTTGTTACTTGTCCTCTGCCCCTAACTAGGCACGTTTTCTATAAAAAATTTCTTGATGAAAAGTAATTACAAAAGTACTCTCATATTAAGAAAATTTTCACTTCAGCCAAGGCACCCAATAATGTTCTTATTAATATGGCCTCGTTTGAAAACTGGTTTCGTTTTTTATTTTTTTAACAAAAAAAAGTATTTATTTATTTTAAAAAAACATGTTTGATAACTATTCTTAGTAACTAGTAAATACCGTTTGTTTGTTTTTTTTGGTTAAAAATAAAAAAAACACATTTGGTAACAATAATGTTGTTATTACTATGTTTCTAAGAAGCAAGACCTGTAGAAATTACCAATTTTATATGAAACCTCTCCATTTAGAAGTCTTTACCGATGAAAGTACTTTGCACTTTCGTTCATCTAAATAGTTAAAACCTAGCATGGTAAACAAATCCTAATTAGTTATACAAAATTTCCTCCTAGAATTCAAAGATTTTGGTGTTTTTCAATTACAAGCTTATTCAAATTACATATCAATTACACAAACTTTTCTCTCAGCATTCTCCATATATAATTTTAACCTTCTAGTAGTAGACCTAAAGTCTAGTCAAGGGCTCAAGTCATCTATTTTGCCGACAAATTTGGACTATTTTTTTTTTGTTTTTTGTTTCTTAGCCAAGATCTTGAAGTTGGTCGTAAATCAAGGCAGATGCACCTGTTGTTTTTATTTTCTAATGATTACTTTTTCGATAAGAATGTTATTAGTAGTGTTTTTTAAAGCTAAGCGCAGCTTCTTAGCAGCCGATATGGAAATTAATAATATTGCAACAAGTGGGGTAGTGTTTGTTGGATAACGAAATATAAAAATAGGTTCTCTCTATTCCGAGTACCGGACTCGAAGGGCAACTATGTTACAGATGGTAATATTTGGAGGAGTTGCTATCATAATGACATTTGTTGGATGACCCATTGAAAGAGAAAGTTTTAAATCACGACACCCTGGAGTTGAGTGCAAGATGGTGTCAGGTGGGAAGCGTATAGAGATGCAACAATAGGCCGGGGTCCGTGGGCTGGC